CTGGTCTGGTCTGGTCCAGCTCCCCTGCCCTCAAGCACGGTCACCCAGAGCTGGCTGCCCAGGACCATGTTCAGTTGAGGTTTGAGTATCTTCAAGGATGAATAATAGAATTGTTTCTTATGTTTAAATTAAATTTCCTATATAGGTACCGCTAAATGCAAATCAAAGGAATAACCCAAATAATTCTTAGCAGCATATCCCACAGAAGACAGGAGATTTAAGACTGAAGTCTCTCACTCACAGCTTTCCATACCCCACCTGGTAGAGGTGCCATCCTCTTGAAGCCCCTGGGGTGTTTTATCCTCAGGACAACTCTTCCCTTTGGATGTGTTTCTGCTATCTGCCAGAACAGCCCAGACTTTGTACAGTATCCTTCCACTGCCACATTATCTGGAGCAGCCTGTGCCAAGTTGTGTGGTCCTGTCACACACCAGCGAGTTTGTCTTGCTGTTGGTTGAAAAACAGCTAGTGTAAGATGTGCTGTGCACTATAAATAGCACGGCCCCTAAGAGCCTTGGGAGTAGTGCCTGTAAAAGAGCAAGTGTGTGCGGGGTTACACATTAAACAGGCCAAGACCATTGGACCTGGTACACTGTGTGCAAAATAAAGGGACGTTTAAATTGGTAAAAAACAAACTGCTGTTTCTTACTTCTGAGGAGTGCTGCCCTTGAGTTGAACAAAATGGCCGGTGCTTCCTCAAGCCACGTGTGGGTGCTGCAGGCAGGCTGCGTCCCACCGCGCACCGGCTGCAGGCGAGGGCTGCCCAGGCTGCGCCGGCATCGGCAGGTTGGCACCCTCTGAGCAAGCGATTTGCACAGGTTTTTTTGCTTTGTGCCTATCTAAAAAACACAACCCACACCCTCCCGGTGAATCAAAAACCACTTAGAAATATGGGCGGCAGCACACCCACCAAGTGGATCCTTCTGGGAAAGCAGATAATTACTGAGATGCTTCTGGGCGGAGACCAGGGTGGTCAGCGGGAGGGCAAAGGCAGGGGAGCGATGCAGTGGGGAGGGAGTGGAGCAGGAGCAGAGAGGCCCCATGGCTGTTCCTCCCATCAGTAAGTTGCTGAATGAAGCTACAAGAATTAAAACCCCCAACTAAATCATATTCCTATAGCGAAGATACTGTACCAGGGCTTCATTGAGCTCTAGTCCACATCTTACCTCAGACTTTTTATGTGACTAGTAATAGATTTCTGAAGAGCAGGTACTTGCAGTGAACACAGAAACTATGGTCCAGAGGTTGATGTCATTTAAAGCAAAACAAAGTAATTATGGCTTATAAATTAAGCAATGGGGGAGCCAACTATTTGGCTTGTTGGGTTTTGCTCCTTCAAACATGCCTTGTTATGCAGTTTAAGAAATGTCAGGTCTAAGAGTTATTAGGACAAAAAAGCAGATGAAGTGATGTGAACAATAGAGGATGGATGAGACAGCATCAGGGTGAGCTAGTCAGGCCAAGCTGCTGCACGTTCTTAGAAACCTAATCTAGTCTTAAAGCAGCCTGGCCTGGCAGAAGCTAAAAGGTAATGGAGGGATTAAGGCCATGGCCATCTCCCTTTTTTAGCTTTCACACCTATAGTACGCTACCCTTCCCTTGGCCTGTCACACCGCTCCACCTCCTTGGCTTAACCGTGGCACAGGAGTTAAGTTTTATAAACCCCTCTGACTTCCTACAGCTCCATCCTGCCTCTCTTGCGGAGCTGGGTTGATGCCAAATAGGGACAGAAAAATAGATTTTTCACTGCAATGGACGCGGTACACGTAGACCACAAAAGAATGCCTTTTGGGTTATTCACTGAGCTCTGAACTAGAAAAAGGAGCTACTGCCTTTATAAGTCCCTCCTGCAGCAAAGCTAAAAGAAATACAGAAAACCCCGTTAGTTGTACACTCACTTCTCACCTCTCAGCTAGTTGCAGACCTCTCCCCCATTCCGGCTCCATCAACTTGTTTGTGGCCCAGTCAGAGTTCTTGCTGATCCATCCTCAGCCCTGAGTGCAGGCCTAGGTGAAATAGGAGCCTGCTGGTTCTGCACTTTCTGTTCTTTCCCTGTACTGGTTGGAGAGGAAGAAAGAAATACTCCTTCAGTGCAAGGAGTGCCACCTAATGGCCTGTTGAAGAATCCCAAAGCTCCACACAGCCTACTGTCTTGGTATTTTTTTCCATATACACAAGTAATATAAAAACACATACACAGTGTATTTTCACACACATACTGGAACACAACTCTCCTCCATCATCTGTCTACCCCTAAACTATGCTTAAGGGTAATTTAATGTAGAGTCTTTATGTTCATATGCAAACAATTGTTTCTTTACGATCATGACTTCAAAACAGCTGTAATAATCCAGATGCAAGTGAGAAGTTGGGTATTTTACTCCAGAGTGTAAAATTCACGAATGCTGGCTAGCAGGTAAGGAGCAGCTGCTGGAGAGCAGCTGTTTGACTGCTGACACTGCCGGGCCAGGCAGCAACAGTCACACGCTCGTGAGGGAATGGAGCTCAGGTATTAATTACCTCAGTCCAACCTGGCAGTGACTTTTCAATTTAAGGCAGTAAAATGCAACAGCTGATGCACGGACACGGTGTTCAAGGATGGCTGGATCCAGCAGTGATGAAGCAAACAGCTGGAGTAGCAGCTGCTTAACATTTTTCAGCCAGAGCGCTCTGCATCATTCCATCACCACCACAAATGGCTCCAACCACGTTAGAGGTCTGTGTCGCTGCTCAGAAACTCACCGTTTGTTGTTTTTTTTTTTGCTATTATCCTTCACTACAGTGTAACTTGCTTTACCTTAACAATGTATACTGATACTGTGTGTATGGGAAATACAACAGAACCGAGGGGCTCCAGAAGAACACGAGGAAGAAGAAAGTCCTTACGAGCCATTTCCTCTATCACACATGTTGACCAGATACAACTAAGCCCTCTCTAGTTTTCAATTTTGTAAAATATTATTACCTGGTATTCTGTATTGCTAACACTGGTCCTGTGGCAGGTTCCAAACATTTAGCTGTACTCTGGAAAAACATTCCTAGAAAGGAGGCTCAGGTAACTTCATTCCTACACAGTTTGAGCTGCAGCACCTGCCCTGCCCGCGAAGTGTACTTCCACCTAAACAGCCTGCTCATCAGTTTACACACAGGCATTAGGGTTGAACTTGCTGCAAGAATACACTTCCCATGCGACCCAGGTATCCCCAGTGAAAACAAGTAGTGATTGGACTACTGGAAACAGTAATGTATAGAGGAATATACGTTACTGCTTTTAAAACATGTTATAAAGCAGACTATTTCTATTATGTATCTTCTTGCAAGATATTAATTTTTATTAGCCCTGTGAAAAAATTCTACTTCCCACTCCTTCCTCAGAACTCACAAAGTATTTTGAAAACTTTCTAGATAACATTTCCATAAAGTAAAAAATACTTGAAAATATTCGACCGTCAAGATTTCTTGCCTGATAACCAGTTTCAAGGCAACTTAGGAACAGCCTCTTTGTTATAATAAATAGTTAAGAAACCCCTACTTCAGCAGTTTAACCTCTAGAAATGTTATCTGAATCGTTCTGAGCAATTGCGGTAGATCACTACAGAATTAGATTGCTTTTGCCTTTAATTTGCAGAACCGTTTGTTGACAAGTAGCACACACACGTTTGACCTCCCTCATACCTGATTTGTCTCAGAAATGAAGTAAATTAACTCGTTTCTCAGATTTCCAGTCAGGCAACTTATTTTGCAGTTTAGTGAAGTACATTTGTTCAAGATTCATTACTAGTTGGTGTTGTTATAGACAGTATCTAAACTCACTCAGGACAAAGTCAACTGATACAGAAGATGAAATTTCTCATATTTGACCCAAATTTACCAGCATATTTTTAAAACATACTGGTGACCATTGTTAGAATTGTGGGAAGGATTCTATATTCAAGAGCAAAATCTTACAGAAACAGCATTCACAGTAACATACCCTAAAAACAAGGCCATGACCTGTTTATAATAGCCTGCATTAGGTAGCAACTGCAAAACCTATCCACCCAGCTCTTTGTCACCTATATCTCTGTATATATCTTGGCATTGTAATACTTCATTGTAAAAACATGCATGGACAGAGGTGGTATTTTTCTACAGCTAGTCCATAATTGCTTGACTGTTTTGAAAACAGATCTATTTCAGGCCATTTGTGTATTTGAGACAGGACTTGCCTGTAGATTAAGTTTCCCCCCACTGGGACAGGCTATACTATTCACTGAATTCTACAGGTCAATTCTCACATCTGTTTTCTATTTGTTGTTCAAATGAACACCCCTGATGTAAAAGACGACATCAAAAAAAAAAAAAACAATCCATTTAACAATACCTGCAATCCTCCCTTCTCCTTTACTCTTATCAGTTGCAGTGGGAAAGACAAACCAGGAAACTGATAAGAACAATAGTAAGGGAAATATCTCTGAAAAAGTGCTTCACAATGTGAATCTAGTCCTCATCTTAAAAACACATGATAGCACAAATACTTCTGAGTAGTACTGTCCTTGTAAACATCAAGTTTCACTGGGAATACTGACAGATACTGCAGTTTTAAGAAGGAAGTATGGAAAATTAACATGTCAAATCAAGTTTTAGAATCAGTATTTGTAAAAATTTTCCACAGAAATGCAATAAAAGTGAAACTGCACTAAAAATACGATGGAGAAGGCAGAAGTTGATGCAGTCTATATTCATCAACACCTGGTTTTACAGGGAAATTTAAGAAGGAGAAGTGTTAATACAGAAAGGATCTATTAAACCGGACTGTTATTAGATATACAGGTGAGCTCACTGGTGAGTAACACAAGGTGGCCACAACTGCCATGTGAAACCCGGGCTTCATGAAAATTTAAAATTCAAATACCAATTTATTCAGAATAAACAAGAACAATCTGATTCACATTAAACATCTGTAGCATCAGTATTTAAAAAAATACACCAATGTTTAAAAAGAGTTAAAGTATCATTTGCCAAGTTCCATTGCACATCAGTTTATTTCCCAGTTGAAAAAGGGAGCATCAAGTAACTGATTATATAAGGCAAACGTGCATTCAAGGCTAATACAGCCATTTAAAGTTATAGCAACAATATCTGAAACAGCATAGTTTTTTTTTTTTTAAACAAAAATATTTATAATCAGTTTTGCAAGTAATCAAGCTGTTAACTGTTCAACTAGTTAAATACTTTCAGTGCAGAAAGAGAACTGTTAACATTTCAGAAAGTTTACATAAAAACCACATCTGCTTAGCATTCGTAACTTTTCACAGCACAATGGTTTTAGTACTCAACCAAGTGGCTTGTTGGATACTAACCACCAAGCTGGCTGGCTTCCAGAAGCAGCAAAATACAGACTGTCGGCTAATGTTAATTTAATGCTATTTTGACCTGTAAAGCACTGGAAGTTAAACTGAAAAATTGTGGACACTTTTATGACATGGCCAGAAACAGTCTTTACCAGTATTGCTACCAATATTCCTCGCAACTTTTACTACTGTCAGGATATGATGTTCAGTTAACCACGCACAGAATACTGACATCCTAAAAAACTAGTGAACTTTCAACACAGTTTGTGCGAACTATCAGAAAAAGTGGGTGGACAATCCAGCTGGGATCCTGGACCAAGAGACACACATAAAACTGAAGTTCATTAGCTTCCATTTGACCACACCAACTTTTAACACTATAGCTCATTTTTAAATCCTTTTTCAAAAACAAGCGCCTCAAGACAGTTTTCTTAATTGAGCCCTTAAGTGTAGGGCCTTCTCCTCATCTACTACATATCTTGTGCTTAATTTTCTAGCACCTTTATTGTCCTTCTGGATTTTCTCTTTTCCTGCTACAATCCACCCATTAACCCTAAATGGATGCTTTGCTGTGCTTTTGATACCTGTGCCTCTCCCATCTTTGACAAAAGACTGTATTTGAGATTCTCACTCTCGTCTATCTTTTCAAAAATGTCAAGATGAGAAGGACCACCTGAGAGTGTAATTGTGGCTTATGCAAAATATATACTATTCAAAAAATACATGCCACTTAATTACATTGCAGAGAACAGAAGAATTCTTATCTGCTATAGGTGGTTAACTTTAAGAATGGCCAGAAACACTTAAAAAAACCTAAAGCAACACAAAGGAGTCTTAAGATGAATTAGCAGGATTGAAGTCTTAATTTTAAAAACTGTCTTGAAAATACGTAGTTTAGCAAGTATCTACCTTCTCTTGAATCACCCAGATTCTGCAGCAAGAACACTGGCACAAACATCCACCTACTAAAACCTGAGTATTTGATCCTTTGGAACACAACCTAGCAGTAGCTAGCTTCCCACTGAGTGCTGATCTGCAACCCCACAAAACCTGTTCAGTGTGCTGACAGTAGTTTAAGTTCCGGTTCAGAACAGGCACACGGGGAAGTAACCACAGCTAAGGAAACCCCGAGCAAAGTAGTTTTCAAGCAATGCTTTCAGCCCTGGTTTATCTTTTTGAGACAGCTTTCTGAAAGGTTTTATGCAAGACAAGAATCAAGGTGTTCATTTATTTTAGACTCCAAAACCTCAGCCTGACAAACAGGACAACTGACTTTTTTATCCTGCCTTACAGCAGTGCTGGAACTTGCAGAGGACACTACAGTTTCAGCTTTGGTTTTCACAGGTGTATTTATGCTTGAAGTGACATCAGTACTCCCTTTTTTAACAAAATAGTTTTCAAAGGCATTTTTGTCTTCAATTTTTGGCCATTGCTGCAGTGCATTAGTACATGCTGAACTTTTTTTCTCAGATGCAACCTGAGCTGCTGTTGTCTGCTCAAAACGAATTTGTTTCAGTGGCCTGTTATAAGGTGGCATAACCCTCTTGCCATTTGCAGAACCCTGATTTGATTTTTCTTCCCTAACATGAGCAATTTTAACAGGCGATCTGCTAACATTCTTGTAAGCTTTTGTATTAGCAACAGAGGGTTTAGGAAAGTCATCATTTGAAGCTAAGTTGATTTTCTCACTGGCATCATCAGTATAAAGTGGAAAGAAGATGCCACTATGGGGTGATTTTTCAAATTTTATCTCATTTTTAGGGATTGGTATTGTCCTTACTGCTGAACGCTGCTGTGAAACAGGTGTTTCACTGTTTCTAATACTGATGCTGGAATTTGTGCATTTTTCTGAGAGTCCACTGTCTCCTCCTCCAAGCCGATATCCCTTTCCACTAAAAGGCATCAGATCTTGAGTATCACGCATTTGTGTCTTGCCTGCAAAATAAGAAAAGAATAAAATAAGAAAAGTTAGTAACTTTTTCCTATAAAAATCACGGGCTTTGTATTTTATGTCCTTCACCTGAAAAATCTGCTGCTTGAAAAACAGTGCAGCAAACTAAACCTTTTGCAAACAATTAAGTGGAGAAGAAACTACAAATGCACAAATAAAACAGGCCCTGTTGGATAAGTAACAGTAATATCTAAACAAAGCTCATTTAGTCGGTGTTCTGTATTTGTTCAAGGTACTGTATAGACAAAAACAGCTTGAAAAATAAGAAAATAATTATTTTGAGTACCTTTGTTAGTTGACTCGGAATTTGGAAGTTTTACTGGCTGAGTTTTCTCCTTGGATTTCTTAGAGAAGTTCTCTGGCTCCTTTACTTTTGTGAACGTGCCCCCACACGTCTCTTGATGCTCAACCCACCAGAAGTCTCGCGCAGAGGGGGCTCTATTCATTGAACGTTTCACATACCCAAAGTAAGGTTTTCTATTTTGACAGGGGCCATTGCATCGCCACCAGTGCTGGCGGTACAAATCCACCTCATCATGAAAAGTATGATAGATCTAGGTTTAAAAAAAAAAAAAAAAAAAAAAAAAAAAAAAAAAAGCAGTCATTCAGAAAGTTTCTAATTTTGTATCACTAACTCTACAATATCTTTTAAAAAACGCATTACCGTTCCAGTCCTTCCATTACTGCTGTGATTTTTACACTGCCAGTTAAAAGGGCTGAACCTGGGCAAAATTTGGTCAATGTTTGGCTATCATTAAAACAAAACTTTAAAAAATAAAGACAGGATGTGTAGGAATATGACCTGGCTATCTTGTTTGAACTGCAACAAAATCATTCTGAAAATCTATCTAGAATTTCACCCTCAATGATGTACTGTTTAGAATGTATTGTAAACATTACCAGTATTGCATCCTCCCTCTAGCTGTTATCTTAATTGATCTTATCACATCCATTATTTTTAAATATTATCAACCCATTAGCATCTACTGATAAAATTGTAACTAAAACAGACTGCTCTGTCCCAAATATTGTTCTGAACATGGATCTATTATGTCCCTGGTATCAAGTTGTTTCAAGCTTAAAACAAAAGTTTAAAGTAAAGTACTTATAGAGAGTATACTTGAAAGTTACACAACTAAGAACTCACTATGTCTTCCTCAACTGTCATCCTCACATCCCACCATCATCCCCAACAAAGTAAGTATGGAACTGGCATACACTTGGATGCAAGTTTGTCCTGGTATCAACTGTGCAGTGTCTAACAAGAACGACTATATTACTCATATCACATCAGGCATACTAAAAAACCAAATCAGGAAGAAACTTCTGTTAAATTAGGTTAAGTGGATTATGCTTACTGTGACATTGGCTCCAGTCAAGCGATTAATGCGGCACATGTGTTTGCGGAACTCTGGTCCATGAGATTCACGATCTTTGTCATTATTCGTAACAAACAGCAGAGCGTGGATCATTTCATGCAACAGTGTCTGAAACAATGCAAATCACTAGCTATTTACTGAAAAGCATTACGTATGGTTTCAAAATTAAACGAAGTATTTTACTCGCCTACATTTATTTTGGTACAGATCTTATTTTCATGCATTTGCGTGTTCAACCTGGGTCATAAAAACGTAATACTTAATCTACCTGTCAAACCAAATTACCTCTATTCCCATATCACCAAAACATGATGGAGAATATTACTACAATAAATGATATTCCAAAAAAGGAGAAATAATGCTCAAACTTAAGTCAGATCTTTGAGATCATCCCCTCTACAACCCAAGTGTCACTTATGAGAAAGCTGAAACTCTACAACATTTCTGTTCATTAAGTAAATCTGAATGTTGAGTGAACTCAAAGCAGCAGCCCTGACAGAGGCACAAGAAGCAACACAAAGTTATGTTTACAGTCATATCCTATATCCTTATTTTCTGCTGTTGGCTTTTCACCTAAAAGATGAAACTACAACCATTTTTTGATTGTGCTTTCAGTCCGTGTTTGGTTTTGATATTAGAGGATAATTTAGGAGTAAGAAAGTTGGGGTTTTTTTCTTTGTAAAGTCAGTAAAATAAACAAGTGAATTTACACTCCTACTTAGAGCTGTCCATTTAGAAACATAAAACTGAAAGATTACCATGATATTGCAACACAAGCAACACAAATGTAATAATAAATCCACCACTATTTTACTATAATAAGTCACTGCATACAAGAATCACACTATGAAATGTAAAATGTTTGTATGGCGGGGCAGGGAGGCACAATACATTTTATGCACAGGTTCATGAGCAATCTTCAAATACCTCAACAAGATCCTTCCTTGGTCTTAACTTTAAGAGCGGCTCACTTAGACGAATGGAACACATTCCACCTCTTCCTTCATATCTACATACTCCAGCACAGCTGAAAGAGACACAGAAAGAAAATGTTAAAAGCTGTTTGTTTCTGTAGTACGTGAAGAAAACTGAGAATTGGAGTTAAAACATCATCCTTCTTCCAACACATGCTAAGTAACCGAGAACATGAAAAAATACTTTTTAGTAGTTACTTGAAAAGCTCAACATCATCAAGCAATAATAATAAAAAAGCAGCTCTGAAGTTCCTTAGAATGAGTTGTGACAGTGACTGATCTAGCAAAAGTGAAATTATAATTTATTACATCTCTTGCAATCACTTAATTCAAAGCTAGCAATCCTAAAAAAAAAAAAAAAAAAAAAAATCACAATGGACAGTTCCAAGCTAACCTGTTTAGGATGCAAAGGACTGTTTTCATTAGAACTCCTGGTGGAGTGAAATACTTAAAACCGAGACTGGAGGTTCACAGCAGGCAACACCGATTTAACTGCTGGTTGCTGCAATGTCACCCCTCAGCTCCCCCCAACTTTTTACTCTTACTGAACCTTCACATATCATCACTTCTGTGGGCCAAACCAGCAGAAAACACTTAGGTTTTTTTTTTTTTTTTGTTACTGAGTTAGTCCTCTACCAGTTCAATATTCAGATATTTTCAAGTGTCTAAAGAGTACTGCAACCAGCAGAGGACAAAAGCAGGCAGGACTCCAGCAGCCAGCAATTGCATCAGCTAATCAGCTGCAGAACCGCAGCCTGCACTTCAAAGCCCCTTTTTTATATATTCTCAGATCTCCTGTATATTCCCCTTCCTAGTCTATTCTAAGTCTTGTTAATATACTATTATATTTCCCTTTGCCATGCTGTAAAAGCTATGATTAAAAACGGAGAACAAGAAAAACGACAGCAATTTAAGTATATCCTTTTAAGTTTCAACATACACAGTTTAAGATCAAGTTATTTATTCCACTTTAACATCTCTCCAGCTTTGCCTGCACCATGGGAAAAGCCATTTATGACTGCCAAAGGCAACAAATGAAGGACAGAACGGCCAATGATAGCGACCCACCTGTGTCCTGGGGCACAAACTAAGTTAGAAAAGCCGGACATTCAAATGTCTGGAAGAGAAGCTGTGGCACTAGTACGTCGTGCCTACAAAGCCAGTTAGGAGCAGCATACAGGGACACATGACAGCTTCCCCCCCTCCCTCAAAACCCACAGCTATACGTTGAGCTGAGCTGCCACTTATTTGATGGGTCACGGCCGCTCCCGACAGCCCTGACGCAGCACAGCACAGCCAGCGTCCCGACCCTACCGAGCCCTCCCCCCGCTCCACGCACCCCGGCCCCCTCCCCACGCAGGGCTACCCTGCGAGCCCACCCGGCCCCCTCACCGCGACCGCGTACAGGGTCATGCGCGGGCTCCACGACACCTCGACCGCCGCCAGGCGCCCCCAGAAAAGCGCCTCGTTGAACTGCACGAAGAGGCCGTGCACGTCGGGGCTGGGGTCCAGCAGCTCCCAGGCCTCATCCACCACCGACAGCGGGCGGGGGGGCGAGCGCTGCGGCGGGGCCTCAGGGCTTGCTGCTGCCGCTGCCGCCGCCGCCTCCTCCGCCTCCCACAGCTCCTGGAGCTGCAGCGCCAGCACAAAGTCCCGCTCCATCCCGCCCCAACCGCCGACCGGGAGCGGCGCCTCGGCAGGCCCCCGAGCGCACGCGCACAGCGCCACACGGAGTGCCACACGCACCCTCTCTGCCCAACCGCGCATGCGCCCGGCACCCTCCCCATGCGCTTTTCACGCCCTTCCCCCCCCACCCCCGTCCTCCGGCGCATGCGCGCGTCGGGGATCTGTGCGTGACTCCGCCCCCATGGCTCCTCCCGCGCTGCGGCCTCGCGTCGCTTCCCGGCGGGGCGCCTGCGCATGCGCAGTCGGCGCGGCGATGCTGGCGCAGGCGGCGTACGTGCCGCTATGCGCAGGCGCGGCGGCCGTTTCCCCGGCGGCGGCGGCGGCGGCGGGGGGGGCACCGGGCGGTGGGGCGGCAATGGCGCTGTCGCTGGGGGAAGGCGGCGGCGGGAGCCGGCTGCGGCGGCAGCTGGAGTCGGGGGGCTTCGCGGCGGGGGAGTATGTGAAGCAGCTGTCGCAGCAGTCGGACGGGGACCGCGACCTGCAGGAGCACCGTCAGCGCATCCAGGCGCTGAGCGAGGAGACGGCGCAGAGCCTGAAGCGCAACGTCTACCAGAACTACCGGCAGTTCATCGAGACGGCGCGGGAGATCAGCTACCTGGAGAGCGAGATGTACCAGCTCAGCCACATCCTCACCGAGCAGAAGGGCATCATGGAGGCCGTCACCCAGGCCCTGCTCCTCCAGGCTGACCGCGACGACCCCGCCCTGGGCGCCCGCCGCGCCGCCGCCGACCCCTTCCTGCCGCTGTCCGCCAAGGAGGCGGTGGCCAGCGAGGAGGGGCGGCAGCGCACGCTCACCACCCTCCTGGAGAAGGTGGAGGGCTGCCGCGACCTCCTGCCCGAGAGCCCCGGCAAGTACCTGGTCTACAACGGCGACCTGGTGGAGTACGACGCTGACCACATGGCGCAGATCCAGCGGGTGCACGCCTTCCTCATGAACGACTGCCTGCTGGTGGCCACCGCCCTGCCCAACCGCCGCGGCGCTTACCGCTACGATGCCCTCTACCCCCTCGACGGCCTGGCTGTGGTCAACGTCAAGGACAACCCCCCCATGAAGGACATGTTCAAGCTGCTCATGTTCCCCGAGAGCCGCATCTTCCAGGCTGAGAACGCCAAGATCAAGAAGGAGTGGCTGGAGGTGCTGGAGGAGACCAAGCGCAACCGGGCCCTCAGCGAGAAGCGACGCCTGGAGCAGGAGGCCCTGCCCCGGCCTACTCCGACACCCCCTGAATCCACCAACCCCTTTGAGGAGGAGGAGGAGGAAGAGCCCTCTGCTGAGGAGGAGGTGGTCGACCTCTCCCTCGAGTGGATCCAGGAGCTGCCTGAGGACCTGGACGTCTGCATCGCTCAGCGGGACTTCGAGGGGGCGGTGGACCTCTTGGATAAACTCAACGAGTACCTGGGGGACAAGCCTGTGAGCCAGCCCGTGAAGGAGCTGCGGGCCAAGGTGGATGAGCGGGTCCGGCAGCTTACAGACGTGCTGGTGTTTGAGCTCTCTCCAGACCGCTCGCTGCGGGGAGGGCCGCGGGCCACCCGCCGAGCCGTGTCCCAGCTCATTCGCTTGGGCCAGTCCACCAAGGCGTGCGAGCTCTTCCTGAAGAACCGGGCGGCCGCCGTGCAGACGGCCATCCGGCAGCTGCGCATCGAGGGCGCCACGCTGCTCTACATCCACAAGCTCTGCCACGTCTTCTTCACCAGCCTTCTGGAGACGGCCAGAGAGTTTGAGACGGACTTTGCTGGCAACAACGGCTGCTACTCGGCCTTCGTTGTCTGGGCCCGCTCTTCCATGAGGATGTTTGTAGATGCCTTCAGTAAGCAAGTATTTGATAGTAAAGAGAGCTTGTCGACTGCAGCAGAGTGCGTCAAGGTAAGAGGGTGGTGTGACGTGGTAGCCGACACAGAGGCTGCAAAGCTTGTAAATCCTCTTGTCTAACCCTAGTTTAGTGGTTGACTCTTGAGCAGATGTCCAGAGACGTTTTCTGCGTTGAAAGGTTAATATTCACTTGGGGTTGGTTTTGGTTTTTTTCAAGTTTAGCAGAGGAAAGCATTAAGATGAAAATACGTGGCAAAAAAAACCCTGCCTTTATCAGAAATGCAAAATGCTTTTATTCTTAATTTGCCTTTAACCAGTAGGAGGTCCTAAAATTTTCATAAGCTACATCTGAATGATGAGTGTTTGAAGACTTCTTGTTTGTTTTCCAAGCATGTCCTGGACTACATTTCCATCATTTTTTGCAAGACTAGCTTTCTAAGGTTATGGTTTCTTTCAGCTGCTAATAGGGGAGAAAAAAAAAAAAAAAAAGTGCATGTGTTGGGGTTATAATGTAATTGTCCAGAGCATTTTTGACAGCCAGGATTTATCCTCCAGTTATTAATTTGTCATTGATAGGGAATTTCTTAAAGCAGGAGCAATAAGTGAAGTATGACTAATGCTTCCCTGTTTTCTGAGACTGATAGATTTGGTAAATGCGTGAAATGTAAAGGGAGCCTGCACACTAGTAACACCCTTCACTTTTTGTTAATACCCAAGGTAGCTAAGGAGCACTGCAAGCAGCTTAGCGAGATTGGACTGGATCTCACCTTCATCATTCATGCCCTTCTGGTAAAGGATATCAAAGGTGCTTTACAGAGCTACAAGGATATCATCATCGAGGCCACCAAGCACCGCAACTCTGAGGAGATGTGGAGAAGGATGAACCTAATGACTCCAGAGGCGCTGGGGAAACTCAGGGAGGAGATGAGGAGCTGCGGGGTAGGCAATTTCGACCAATACACGGGTGATGACTGCTGGGTCAACCTTAGCTATACTGTAGTAGCTTTCACTAAGCAGACTATGGCCTTCTTGGAGGAAGCGTTAAAGCTTTACTTTCCAGAGCTGCATATGGTTCTTTTGGAGAGTCTCGTGGAAATCATCCTGGTGGCTGTCCAGCATGTTGATTACAGTTTACGGTGTGAACAGGACCCTGAGAAGAAAGCATTCATTAGGCAGAATGCATCCTTCCTGTATGAAACTGTCCTTCCTGTTGTGGAAAAAAGATTTGAGGAAGGAGTTGGAAAGCCAGCCAAGCAGTTACAGGATCTGAGAAATGCTTCAAGATTGATGCGTGTAAATCCAGAAAGTACCACCTCTGTGGTGTGAAGTGACCTAACTTCATAGGAACAGAGTGTGGAAGTGCTTACTGAAAATGTTGTACATTGAATATGTGAACTAAATAGGGTTTTCTGAGTCCCTGGAAAACGCAGATGTCTAACTGCTGCGTTCCAGAAGCTGAAGACTTACAATCAAACAATCAAAGCATGTAAGGATGCAATGCTTTTGTTGGTGGATTGGGGGGGGGGGCGGGTGTAGGGGAGCAAGAAGTAAGGTCGAGGTCACATGTCCTTGGACAGTATTTCCTGTAAGAATGGCTTGTGTAGCGTTTATGACTTGGAAAATACTATGATATACAATTTTTGGCCATATGTTTGTGAAAGTCTTAAACATACGTACACCATATGGCAGGAAAAGATCACTTCTCGTCATGTCACTGTAGGAATTATTTTTTAAGGCACTGTTCTGCTGGGAGGGGAAGTGCTGAAATGCTCCCAGGGTGTGGTATTCTGTGAGGCATGTCCACCATCCAGATGTGACTCAGCACTGCAGATAAACAACATGGATTTGCACAGTCAGATTTGTTTGGTAGCAATGCAGACTCTTCAGTTTCTCCAGCATTCAGATTTTCTTAATTTGTTTCAGAGGCAGATTTAAATTAAAAAATGGGGTTTTGTGCAGGCTTTTTTGTGTTTGGTTGAAGGGTCTGCTTTTATTTAATAAGCTGGCCTGTTGGCCTAAATTACAGCGCCCTGAAAACAAACCTTCTGCTGTCAGAAACATTTGTTCCCTTCAGAGAAGTGAGAATAAATTTCTTACCCTCCGTTTTGTGTTTCCCTTCCTTGTTTTCTCATGGACTTCATTGGGGTCAAGTCTGTTTGGTGAAGTATGCACTCTTGGTTGAGGTGCCTGTCATAAATGCATTATGTGCCATTACCTACTGGTAGAAACTATAGTGAAGAGGCATAAATGCTCTCGAGATGTGCAGGGCAGGTGGAGGGTCTGAAAGTACTGTTTCATCTGTAAGAAGCAGAATGCTAGTTTTGCTGTACAGAAGCAGCACAGGATGAAGAAACTGGGTGTGAGAGTTTTTGTAAATGATGTGGTCTTCAAAATACACTCTGTCTCTCCTGCAACTATTAGTATTCGTTTCCTGTAATACAGCAATAACCAAGAACAACTGTCTTTTTTTGCAGAAAACACAAGGACTGTATGTGATTTGGAATTCTAATGTAGATCGGTGGAAGTTTATGCAAATGCATGTATGCTTGGATTGGATGATGATGGCTATCCTGTTCAGTATGTGTCTCTAAAACTAAAATAAGCCAGGTCTTGTATAAAAGCGGGCTTTAGAAAGCTGTCAGCGTCATCTCCTAACCTGTGTAAACTTCTCCATTAGTGCAGACTTTCTTAGTTGTGAGAAAATCATGTTACAGCTAAGTAACCTTGTATTAGACTCTCAGTAAGCATTCTTAACTGGAGTAACTGAGTATCCTATTCCTCTTATGCTTTCAAATGAAAGCTTTTGCAATTTGTGTCGTGGTAATGAATGCCTTGTGACTGCCTGAACAAACAAAAGACTGATGGGAAAACATTCTGTGTAACTGCTCATACTGGAGCTTCTTAATTTCTCCCTGTTAATCACAGTGCTAGTTCAGTGCAGTTTTTACTTTAGTGGCTAGTTTTTGTTTTCTTGCTGTTTGGATGCCTTTTGAACTGTCAGATTTTGCAACGTGCCCTACTGTCTCTGCTCACTTGCTTTCCAGTGTTTGGGCCTTTTGCTAGCAAATCACAAAGAAATGTACAAAACGGTTTCAAAGGGTAACTTGGTGCTCTTGGCTAAAACTGGTTGAAAACCACTGAAATAGCTATAGTTTTATTTTAAGGTACAGGGACACTGGGAGTTAGAACTCCTGTGAACGTGTTATCTCCAAGAGAGCTACACAGGTGTTATTTCA